ACACTAACCATCCATGACATACACAAAAATCATAAAGACATTTAGGGGTTTTCATTTAACAAACAAGCAAGAAGAGTATAGTTGTTTAGGAGTTTTTGATTTACAAAAGCATAAAAGTAAAGATATGTTATTCAAAAAGGCAGTAAATTCGAGTATTATATCATGCATACTAGGGCTTATCCCTTCCTTTAAGGCTAGTCTTTACCTGTGCATGTGCCTCTTGGGATAGAGATTTAGCTTGATAATGCGTGCTTTCTCTTCATGTCATCAGCTAATCAATGAAGAATAAGGAAGTTAGGATAACATACGATTGATTGTGGGCTTCTACAAACCATAATCATAGTCTATAGCATCAATGATCTAACAATCAAGCATTGATACTACTCAAGGGGTAGATGGTTGATCATTCCCTCTATACTCGTAGCATCAATGGAGTATCACTAGATGGTAATTTCTTGACAACCTAAATAATACTAAACATAATGTGTTAGTAGCATACAATATAATCATATGCACCGATGATAAAGTAGCATTTATTCTATATAAACATCAATGACCATCACATAAGCATAGAAACTAAAAGCATCCATGCATAGGAATAAAGAAGTTCCAAGCATAGGCACTAAAATTTGCCTAGACAAACACAAGCATGAGATGAAATCATAACATTCATTCACATAAGAATGAACAAGTTCACATCTTCATGCAATCAATTTCGACTAGGCTACATAGGACAAAAGGAAGGTACCACCATTAATGATGACGACATCTCCTTAGATGCATACCCCCTACTTAGACTAGGTTATCACTCGTGTACAGTGTTACATAGAATTTTGATGTTTGTGCAGCCTTTCTATGATTATGGGTCAGGCCCTCTATTTATAGAGGAAAATCCTTACCTAAAACGTCTGAAGCCGAGTAGGAAAGAGTCTCCTAATCCTTGCTGGCTAAGTAAAAATTTTCAACAAGGAGTTTGCCCTAGCGGCGGTAGGACCAGCTGTTGCCTATTGGGCCACCACTCATTTCTTTTTTCATATTGGGCCAAGTCTTGCTCCTATGGGCTTGTCTTGTGATTGTATAGTAACTCCTAGTAGAATTATCTATTATCCTTTCTCACGAATGCTCCTCATTATTCTATTTATAGCTCATTTGGTTGTTCAAAGTTCTTCAATGCTTGATCCAAACTTACTTAGGTTGCTTTGTACCTTCAAAATCATCAAAACACACACCAAGAAGATATCAAAGAGTACATGAACATTGTCTATGTCTAATAAAGGCTCATTAATCAAATAGTTGTGATTTAGATACGAATTACCATTGAAATAGCCAAAGATGCTTTGATAGAAAGGGAAAATGTATCAAGAATGAGAGTGACAAACACTATAAATAAAGTTTCATAAGAAATACCCCACACTTGAACTTTGCTTGTCCCAAAGAAAATCCTACTCTTAATCATACGACACAATGAATTCTTGATACCATGACTGAACCCTGATCTTAGGTAGTGGATCATAATCAACTTACAATATCAACACTAGCACTCGACAAGAACATCATATCATATAATCCTAGCATCAACAACTAATCATCCATGAGATTATCATATGTGAAAACAAGCATGTCTGGTAATTAATGAGCATGCCCAACTTTGACTGAGGTCGCACCAGAGTTCTATAAGTCAAAACGCATCCAAATTTGGGGGAGAAGTTTCTAGTGGGTCAAGCACCAAGCCCAAGTGGATAGGGGCCATCCCAACCACCATGGACTCGGCGCTCAAGTCCTATCTCTTTAGAAACTTCTAGAAGGTTCTTACTTCGTCCACGAGTTGATGTCTTACAAGGAAGGTTTTGGCCGACTTTAGGAGGAAAATGACTAACAAACTCCTTTTGTAACTAGTATAAATAGGAGCTTTGGCTAGAGCTTTTAGATACACCTTTTACCAACACTCCGCCCTAGGGCACGAGTTTCAGTCCATAGAGAGGCAAATTGCTACTGATATTCGAGGAATCATTCACCATCAATGCATGCATCAATGGTGATTTTGTTCTACTTCTCTATGGTTTGCTTGTCGATCTATTTAGGGATGTGAATTCTTTGATGCTTCATGCATCGTGTTTTATGAGTTAATGAGATGTCTATCGTGTTTATTATCTTTACCATTCAATGTGGAGTCAATTTATGCTTGTATCATCTATTACTTGAGTTATTCGATGCTATTGTTATTAGATGCTTTAGTTAATCAATGCTTGTGAATCTATTATATGTTACTCTATATATGTATCGTTTACACTATTGTTAGGGGAGATAAGTAATACTAATCTCGTGCAATAGGCATCCTCTTTGAGCGTGTATGGGAGGCAAGGAATACTAATGTCATGCAGGAGGTTTTCTCTCAACTAATAAATATAAATTTTTAGTTTCGTCTTAAGTCAATGTGTGGATAAGCATAATTCTGGAACAAATAGTTGGTAGGATATTGTGAAGATGGCTACTAAGATTTTTTTTTTTTTTTTTTGTGTGATAACATTCTACCATTAAACTCTATTGTGCTTTATGTTATGAGTAAACACAACAATGTGTGTTTTCACTTTCTTAGAGAGCTTGAAAAGTGGAGTAGTGGAGATAGAGCATTGCATACTACAGGAGCAGTAACCGACGTGATGACAAAATCATTGAAGTTGTAAACCTTTCAATTACCGTGCAACAAGTTGGGAATGGTTGAGCTCAGTGAGTTTGAAGTTGCAGAATGAAGATGCAAAAGTGAACTGAACGTAACACCGCAATCACTGAGATCAACCATCGCGAGCTGGATTGTGGATTGCTTATTGTTTGGATATTTCTGCAAGTTATAATAGCGAAACAACACTAAAGGACGAGAACTTCTACTATGTTATATAGTATTGGTGCTTTAATGTACAACTTAAAGACAACATAAATGTACAATTTTAAGTTGTACCATAAAGACAAAACCCTATAGCACCAATACTATATAGCATTGTAAAATTTCTCCTAAAGGCATGTATCTTACCGTGTCTCAATATTTTTGAACTCTACAAAATATAATTTATTGTTAGAATCTAACATTATTTGTGTCTAAAGGACAAAGATGCTAATAGGGCAAAATGTGGATTTTAGCTAAGTATGCGTAGTGTTGCACATATCGATCGAAAACTATATTCATTTTCAGGGCCGTTCCGTAATATTCGAAGGCCCTGTTCGACAATTTAAAATGTGGCCCCAAAATTTTATCTCATAAATCTATTAAATAATAATAATAATAATAATAATTACTTAAGTTTAGAAAATTATTACAAAAGTAATAATATTATCTATTAATGTTCAAAAAGTAACAATCGTCTAGCATTATTTGAAATAAAATCCTCTATTAGCCCTTCCATCTTCTCTATAAATTTTGAAAAACGAAATCAATCCATCTATTTCGAAAATATCATCAATAAGTATATCTTTGGATTGTAAATATTTACTAACCAATTTGTTGAGTGCAATATTTCATACCTAATAACTAATGAAACAATAAACTCAAAATCACCAAGTTCATTTTGTGCAAAAAATTTAGCTTCACTTCTATTTTTCGAATTGCCATCAAGATCGACTACTAATATTCAGGCTCCTCAATTCTCTGTTTGCTTTTATGCTTAGAACTACCTTTTTCAAATTTTCGGGCTGACATAATTAAAAATTATAGCTAAAAATTAATGATTCCAAATTTTCAATCAATATTAAGTTCCTTGTTAAAGAAAAAGAAAAATAGGTTAGAGCTTAAAGAAAAGTTCATTAGGAGCCGGGATAGTAGGGATAGACATTTATTAAGAGTTAATTATAATTGGGTGTGAATAATTAATATTTAGGCGTTAGATGATTTTGGAAAGTTGAGAAATTTTGGGGAAACAGATGAAGAAAGACGTTAAATAATCTAACATTAGTTTTAAACATCAAATAATTCCCAGCCTAGTGGTCAAGCCCCCTTTTCATGGACAACGAGGTCCATAGTTCGATGTAAGATGCTGACATTCTTTGTCGTCTGTTTTTTCTCTGATCTGTAAGCTGCGCCTTTAATGGACTTTGAGGCCCAGTTTGGAGCAAAGCCCAAGGCGGTGCAGCTCCACCATGCCAGCCCAACAGGGCTCGGATTATGAGGTTGAATTTGACTTTGACTCCGTTGGGCTTGTGGATTATGAGGCCACCAAAAGATGAGGCCCTGTGCTGTGGGTCAGACCAACACAGGGTCTGGGCCGGGCCTGTTCATTTTGCTCAACGTGCATGACGTGTTATATACTAAGTGAAACGCTACCTATTTGTTTCAACAATATTTTGGTAATTTTCGCTGATTATATTCTCTGGCCTTTCTAAACTGAAAAGATGAGATAATTAAGTTAATGGAGAGTGAAGACAATTTATCAGAAAGGCGACTGGTCTGAAAGCCATCGACGGAGAGAGAGTTTGCGGCTTTTGTGTCACTCTCCACTTCCACCAGCGACGGGGCGACTAGAAAGTGTCTGTGTTAATTAGTGAAATTCCCAAAAAGGTTCCGTACTCCCCCTTCCATTACTAAATAAAAAACAATAAAATAAAACAAATAAAAAGCTTGGCGCCACCACAAACAAGGAATTTTCGGGAAAGCAAATTTTTATTATCTAAAAAGAAAATCCCCCCACCACCACTGGCGGGACCCGCCAATCACCATCCGACGGCTCACATCAAAAGAATGCCTTCGCCCTTTAGACGGAACAAACATCCGACGGTGTCAAAACCACAACCAGACGCGAAAACACGGAGCCGCTCGTGCCCAGAGTTTGGAAAGGATTATTGTTATTATTTATTTCTTTATTTATTCCCTCCCACCACCCATCGTGGGCCCCACCACCACTTCCCCCACAAACTTAAAATCTCAACCCTCCATTTCTCGATCAATCAATCTTCGCCCGCCTTTTTCCGTTTAACCCTTAACTTAACCACGGTTAAAACACTCCCCCCTTAACCCTCCACCGTAGTTTCTCTTTATTACTCACTCTTCAGACTTCACTCTCTCCATTCTCCAACATTCCTCAGGCTCAGCTCACTCTTTTTCTCCCCTTCCTCTCACGTTGTACGAAATTACGAAAATCTCCCCGCCGGAGCAGAATTCGCCTGAGACGCTGCGGCGGGAGAAACAAAAGCGAAAGCGATGAGTTGCAACGGGTGCCGAGTATTGCGCAAGGGATGCGGCGAGAATTGCGTCCTCCGATCTTCCCTAAACTGGATTCCCACGCCGCAAGCGCAGGGGAACGCCACCTTGTTTCTCGCCAAATTCTTCGGCCGTAGCGATCTGCTCTCCTTCATCTCCGCCGTCCCCGAATCCCAACGCCCTGGTCCGCCCGATTCTCTCGTCTTTCTTCGAATTGCATTTTCAATTTCGGTCAACGGGTTAATTATTAAAAGTTCAAACCCTGAAAATTTTGACGATTTTTTTTTATTTTTTTAATTTTGTTCAGCTCTGTTCCAGTCGCTGCTATACGAGGCGTGCGGACGGACGGTGAACCCGGTGAACGGGGCGGTGGGGCTGCTGTGGAGCGGGAACTGGAGATTGTGCGAGGGCGCGGTGGAGACGGTACTCGCCGGAGGATCGCTTCTTCCGTTACCGGGAATCGCGGCGGTGGCTGATGAGTCAGCAGATAGCTTCTCCGCCGTTGGATCGGGTCGTCAGCTGCGGCCGATTTCGGGGGTAGGGAGTGAGAATTGTCGATCCTCTGACCAACATCGTTTTCCTCTGCTGACGCCGGGCGGAAGCGAGCGGCGGGTGAGTAGACTGGCGACGGGGGGAACGTCGTTCTTTGGGGAGGAATCGGAGACGACGACTTTCGAGAGCAGCGGCGGGGACCGGAAGAAGCTGCTTAATCTTTTTGTTTGAATAGAGAAAATAAAGTACTGCTGAGAGAGAGAAATGAAAAAAAAAAATTAGAGGAAGAACTAAGAAGCAGAGTTTTTGTCGGTAGAAAAGAGAGGAAATCAAGAAACCAAAGGCTGAGAGATGGATGCGGTTACTGGAATGTGAACTGCTTTCTTCCTTCCTCGGTTCCTGTTTTGTATTATAATAATAACAGACGAAGAAGAAGAGAAAAGAACGCCGGCGAGTTTTGGGTGCGCTATTCGGAGTCTGCCGGTGAAGGGGTTTTGTCTCTTTGTCTTGTTAATTTTTTCTGTTGTGTTTTTGTCTGCATCCGTACGTTTCATTTGGCTGGGCTGCATTTCATAGCCAGTGTCTATGTGGTTGACAAGTGGGTCAGTGAGTCAAGAAATGTATACATATGATAGGCATATTACCTTCTCGTTTCTCGGTTCAACTTTTATACGAAAGAATATCGCAAGTAAACAATAAATAAAAAGAAGTAAAAAACAAAGAGAAATGATCAAAGATTAAAAGACCATACTGTATCCGTATATCGGTTGACTCGCAAAATATTGGTTCCCAAGTCAAATTTAGAATGTATAAAGCAACAATGGTAAATATCGTGTTGATCAATTTTAAGAGATTTAACCTATGAAACATGATATTCCAGTCATTTTTAATCAACCGAACGACTTGGAAATTAAAAAAGGACCCTCTAACGTTAAAACAATGTCATTTAGAGAGAAAGTTAATAAAAAAAATGAAAATCGGGCATACTCTACTCTCCAACACAAACCTAATTGATACTTACATCATCCTTTTCTCTCCACTTCACAAGCGAGACTTGAACTCTTTGCAGCAACCAGAGAACGACCCTCTCTCTAACAACTGGAATAAAAATTAAGTAACGTTTGCACTTTACAATTGGGTTTTGTTAGACTTAGTTTTAAGATTCATTGGTGAATTTGTAAATTTTATGCTACGTGTCTTTCAAGTCTTGGTTTCTCATGTTTAGTTAGTTAGTATGACTCATTGCTATCCGTGTAATTCCAATATTTTTTCCAGTATGATAGCATATTTTTATCGGTACAATATTTTAGCTAAAATTGCATTGCTTTATTTAAAAATAATATTTTAGAAGTATAAAACGGTTGAACCGCAATCATAACTAGGAATGACAAAAATATTCGTAAACGTCGATATCCGATCGAATCCGGCCTAATCAGGTCTGGTAATTACAATGCAATGTTTTACATATTGATTAGGCTCTCCTAAACAAGCCCTTAATAATGAAGAATGGTGATCTTATCCGTCCTTCCCTCTCCTTACTCTCACAAACGCTAACTTTTGTGGTTTGTCAAGATGTGTACCACAATAGTGTGGATAGAGAGGATCTCACAACACTCGATAAAAAGCGAGGCTCTGAAAGTTGCAGTATATAATTAGATGACTGTTAATCCGAGGGGGAGCAAATGAACAGTGTCAAGCAGCGCATGAATCCTTCGGCGACAACCAATCCATGGTGATTTGTTTTCGGCCATCATCGTGTGAAATTGTTGGCAGACTGGGATCAATAATAACAACTACAGCTTTAATAATTGTATGTTATTATGCAATTAATTCTGCTGCATTTGATTGATCAAAGTGTTTTGTAAAATAATTTGTGGGGTGGTATGGAATTGCCTGAAAATGTGACATAAAGCATGTATTTTGGTAATCTACACATAATATAATAGCAGCAAGGAAAAAATCCTTCCATTATTTAAAATTCGCTGCTCTAAGAGCAATTGTAGAAAGGGTATAATAGGAGCTTTGGTTGGGGCTATTGTCTCCGTCCAAGGTTAATCGCTTCGTATTGGTGAGTTCGTCTTTCCTTCTCTGTGTCTTTGGTTTTATGTTCAGATTCATTGATAACTTAGACGTTTCCCCCTCAATTTCTCTTACTGGAACAACAACCAGAAGATTTAATGTCATTGATAATGTTTCTGGTGATGATGTTCCAACATCAAGTAATCTCTTACGCCAGGCTTCAAATTCAATGAGTTTCTCCATCGCTGTTGTGGCGAATGTTCATCGGTTTCAATTGTTGGGTTATTGTTTTATGCTCTGTTTCTTTTTCTGCTTATGATAAATTAAAATATTGGTTTAGGATTAGTTAGTAAATGCTGAATTTGTTGTGTTGCTCCTTTCATTTAATTGTTGTGGAAGCTAGAATGATTACTATATTAAGCTCACATGCAACACATCTGGGGAAGAGATACGGTGACAACCTACTTCATAGCCTTTGGATACGCTCTCTCTCCTGTCTCTTTCTTCTTTTTTTAAATTAACGGTAAAGATTAAAGGAAGGATATTTTTGGAAGGGTAAAAATTTACCACACCCAATCATTCACCATACCATATAAAAAGAACTAAAACCCTAACTCCTCCATCCTCCCTCTCTCTCTCTCCTCCCTCTCTCCCGTAGACATCACCATCTCTCGTCCCCCTCTCTCCGCCTCCACAGCCCTCCCACCACCGCCGCCAAATTCAGAACCCATCACCCAATGGCGATGATGAATTCACGAGCTGAAGATCAACCTCACTCCCAGTCAACCGCCATGGATGAGATCTCATCCCCATCATAGCAGCAGCTGCAGCAGCTTCCCATAAGCACCACCACGAAGACGATCATGGAGAAGCAGCTGACTCTGATCCCTCTCATCTTCCTCATCTACTTCGAAGTCGCCGGTAGGCAACCGGCCGTACAGGCCGCCGGACCTCTCTATGCCATCCTCGGCTTCATCATCTTCCCTTTCATCTGGAGCATCCCGGAGGCTCTCATCACCGTCGAGCTCTCCACCGCTTACCCTGGCAACGGCGGGTTTTTTTCCAGATCTGATAGTCTCTACTGGTACCAATACCACTGGTAGCACTATTGGTACCAATACCACTGGTAGCGCTATTGGTACGCTACCACTACTCACTGGTACCAATACCAGTGGCTCCCCTATCATCTGGTACCACTATCATCTGTTTTTTTTTTTTGTTATTCTCGACTGGTACCGCTACCAATGCTAGTGGTAGCGCTATCAGTGCTAGTAGCGTTGTGTTATTCTCTACTGGTAGCGTTGTACTGGTAGCGTACCACTAGTACTGGTACATTTTTTACTGGTACCGCTAGTACTGGTACATTTTTTAACGTACTGGTAGCTTACCACTAGCACTGGTATATTAATTACCAGTAGACTAATAGATTGGTACACTTTTTAACGCATTGGTACATTTTTTCAGGTTGCCGGAGGGAGTCTGCCGGAGAGAATTCGCCGGAGAAAATGTTTGTCGGTCGATGCGGAGTGGCTGCTGGAGAAAGGAAGAGAGAGAGATAGATAGATAGAGATATTAATGTATAAGATTTAAATTTCAGAAAAAATTGTATTTAATATAGGTTTTTAATTTCCAATATAATTAATACAAAAGAGGTAATTAATATATTCCTTTTTTTCATACCCAAAATATCCTTGGTTGTGAATCTGACACTTTTGTCACCGTATCCCGTCCCCAGATGTGGGGGATTAGGGTTTTTGGATGGGCAGTAGAAGTTCGGAAAGTGGTGGGTAGAAATGGTGCTGGGATTTGGTAGCAGGACCGAATTCTATATGGGATTGGGAATTAGGATATATCTTAAAGCCCTAGGTTTCTTTGGTCTGAGCTAGGAATTTGAAAATCAAACTTTTATTTATTTTGTGCACTAAAAAATACGGGCCTTGGCTGCTAATTCTATGACATAACATTGGGTTTTAATACTAATGAGCATGGAATGTCAATTTGGTGTCATTTAACCAACTAATTATGGGTGAACTCAATAATTTAGTACCCTTGCTTTCATAGACTTACCGTGAGATGCATTAGTTATTAATGTTGATTGGGGAAACTTCATATTTGCCAGAATTTAGAAATGTTTAGCAGTAGTTCGAAATTCCTTATTATGCTTATATGACACCTTATTTTGTTTAGAGTTGACATTTCAAAACGTTGAGAAAAGATGTACTACAAGAAAATATGATTTCTGCAACCATCAATTATGGTTGGCCAAACTGAAAAAATGGTTGTTGAAACCTTTCAGCGACCATAAATGAGGGTTGCCAACATGGTCGGCAATAGTGCGTCGGCATAAGTCCAAGGTGACCTTTTTTTATATAGTGGCCAAAAATCTACTTTAGGCGACTATAAATTATGGTTGGTGAAAATCCACTTCAGCGACTGTCTTATTATGGTTGGAAATGCTCGTTTTCAGTGACTATCCAAAAATGGTTGGTGAAAGGCTAGAATTTCAGCCACCATATCTATGGTCGCTACAAGGTAGCATTTCAAGCAACAATCTCATTTATAGTTGTCAAATGGGAGATTTGAGCGACCATTTGAGAGGGTCGCCCAAAAGTAAGAACTAGGTTGATATTTAAGCAACCCTGCATTATGGTAGCCAAAAGGCATATTTATGGGACTAATATATTTGTAGCTCGTCACTTCTTAATGTGTACATTTAATACCAATATTGTAATAAGCTGCTTTCCAACAAAAGATATTATAATTGATATTAATAAAAGAGTAATTCACATAACAAGGAAAAGTGGATAGAAGTGGTATTTTATACATATTTACATCCAAAATGAGACTGTTATTGTCCCTTTGAGGAGAACATTAGATAAAATGAGATTGTCAATCTCAATCCTTTAGAGTTTATCCTATTCTCTACAACTAATCTCCAAAATCCAACATCAATAAAGTTTATTCTATTATCTTCGACTAATCTTCTTGCCAAATCAAACATCAGTAGTCCATTTTAGCCATTGCAACTAATCTCCTTGTCAAAAGCCTGCATACACACCTGCTGTAAGTTAGCAACAAAAAAACATGGGAAAACCAAGCAGAACAATATCGGTAGGCAAAATAACATAAGAAACATGCAAAAACCAGTTTTAAGACATGCAAAAACCTGTTTTAAAACCATTAAAGAACCCCTTATAAACTTGCTGCCAAATACTTGGAAAAGCCATCACAACCTACTGGAAACCCGACATGAAACTTGCTACATATAGAAGCAAAACCAGCAGCAAATATACTACAAAATATGGAGAATCATATAGGGAAAGACAGTCAGAGACCTGAACACAATCAAAATCCTGACCTAAACTTAAGACCCGAAGAGATTAAACAAAGACAGTCATAGAGATTAAAGATAGACAAAGTATGGGATAAGAAATAATGGACAAATCAAGATAGATATAATCGTCCCCAACTTATACTTTGTAAGGAAGCCAATAATCACTAAATAAATTAAAACCAATGATTAGGTTAGACATAACACAAATAAGAAACTATTTCTTCCTCTTAGAGAGGCCATCCCTAAAGTGGATGGGTTTCATATAAGAATCCATGGGAGTGCACTCATAGGGTTACAGTTCTCAGATTTCAATAGTTTAGTGTTAAACTAATTACTTAAATTCAATAATTCAAACAAATTAACACATATGTGATCTATTGTCGTGTATAGACCAAATCTCTGTACCTTTTTTTCTTCTGAAGAGCAGCACCAAATCTGAGAAGAGAGTCTTGTCTTCGATCAGTTAACTAAGTGAGAAAGCCCCCTAATAGTAAGGATAAACTTCGCTCCTCCTCCTTCAATCGACGAGAAACACTGTGGCACTATGCTAGCTAGTGTTTGATAGAGAACTCAACCGACGTTTGGTTTCAGATGAATCCAGAGCTGGAGCTGATTGTGCTCAAGGAGAAGGGAAATAAGAGATCTGCGGCCGGAGAGATGCTTGTGGCGAGGATGAATCGGAAGCTTTTCACCGCAATCTCGAGTAAGGGGAAGCGAACTCCCTTTTCTCGTCGCACCATCGTCGTCTCGCCTTATCAGTCCTTGTTGCTTCTCTGCGGTCACGCTCTCGCCAATAATCGTCTCGGCCCGACGTTTCTTTGGAGACTGCCGGATCTGGGGAGGTCTGGGCATGGAGGGAGACACTGCCGCCTCAGCTGCCTGCAGTGAGTAGGGAACCGGGGAAGAAGATGTGAAATTAGGGATTTGAATATGAAAAAGAAATGGCCAAAAGTAAGAACGATAATCGATTGTAATTGTTTCACACTTCCCCCCAAACAATAAAACAACAGCGTTTGGCATTAGGGCCGAGGCTACACCAACCATTTTGTATATGGTTGCTTAAGAGCTGCATATAAATGGTTGATGCATTTTTGGCTATCAACAACCATTTAGAGTTAAGTAATCCTTGCACAAAGATTGTGTATTACCAACCATTTTGTCAAGGTTGTTAAAGTTTTTGTTTATCAACAACTCTTAGACTTTTAGTTGCTTAAGTACATAGTATAACCAACTATTTCGCAAATGGTTGTCGAAGTCTTTGTTTATTAGCAAGCATGTACATAGTGGTTGCTTAAGTATAGGGTATCACCAACCATTTTACAAATAGTTGTCGAAGTCTTCATTTATCAGCGACTATGTACATCATGGTTGTTTAAGGGTAGGGTACCTCCAACCATTTCACAAATGGTTGCCGAAAATTTCATTTATCAGCAATCATGTACAAAATGGTTGCTTAAGGATATGGTATCAACAACTATTTCAAATATGATCGTCAAAGTTTTTATTTATCAGCAACCATTTACATTGTGGTTGCTTAAGGGTACGGTATCACCAACCATTTTGCGTATTTAGTGTAACATCATGAATCCGAGTGTATTTTCAATTAGAGTTCGACCGGAAAGTTCAAAGACGGTTAGATCGACGTTTACGTACGAAGTGGTGCAACCATGGTTTACGTACGAAGTGGTCCCTCTTTTTGCCTTTTTAATCAAAGGATCAATGGCAAGAAGCGCGCACACGATCCTTCTCCATTTCGTTCTCATCCCTCCCCAACGAGCTAGTAGCAGCGACGGAAGCAGCCAAGTTCTGTTGGCATCAAGCGTTGCCACCCTCCCACGTTGACACCTCCAAAAGAGGTAACACCCAAGCAGCTGCGAAACCATCTCCCTTCGATCGCCAGCTGTATGATAGAGAGAGACAATTTGACGGGGGCAAGGGAACTGGCGGCTGGATGGATTTACACAAAAAATGGAAGGTCGGACTGAGGGTTAAAAAAATGGCAATCGATTCATCGATTAGGCGGAGCAATCGATGGCCTTCGGGACTTGGCAGCGGCAAAGTAGGTAGATGCGTCGAATTCGGCAAAAGACGAGGTGGAGAGCTTATAATGTGATGGCGATTGATTGCGCAGAGATCATGGCGGGCTTATTATTAGCAAGGTAAGCGTGTTCTTGAATTTGGCTGGGGCTTTATACGCTACGTGGGTTGGTCATGCATGGTTGAATAAATTGCCCGTTCCAAAAGATGGTATTGATTTAGCTTACGGGACTAATGGACGAATTTTCAACGAGTATAGCCATTCAACCTTTATCATGGACCAAATTGGGATTAATTGATGGTACCATGGAAAGTAATTAAATAAGAAGGAATGTGGTAAATCACGATGACGAGGAATAGGAGGAAAAACAAAAAAAGGAATCATGAGACTAGGGAAATAACCACTACTTTTTGGGTTTATACGTGTGCTAGGGCATCAGAAGTGGCAATGTTGAATAGGGAACCTCATGGACACCATTCTTAATCTTTTAAGTGGAGGATTCGTCAATCGGGTTGGACATACGGATCCTGATATCGAATCGAATAATAAGGTGAGTGTAAAGGGGGTAAAATCTCTGTCGAGGTCTTTTAGTTTGTGCCTTTTTAATTCAGTTATGTTATTTAATTTTCAAGTAAGCGGGATTATGTGTGTGAGGCATCCCACCGCCTACTTAAGGTGGAGGCTCGCGTTGTGCTATGTATGTGTGTGTTTATGATGTATGGATGATGATAATGAAACCCCCAGGCGGTTGGGCCACTACTGGACGCGGTAGATGGTCGGGTCACTACTGGAAGGCGATGCGTAACGCAGTGGTTGACCGGGCATGGACTGGACGGCGATACGTAACGCAGTACCATTGCCTTGAGGATAGGGACACCGGACGGCGATACGTAACGCAGTACCATTGCCTTGAGGATAGGGACACCGGACGGCGATACGTAACGCGGTGATTCCCTAGTAATAAGTATATAAGTTAAGGTAGTAGTAGAGAACTTCTATGATTTAAGGATAAAAGTTGAGAACCTCTATGAGTTAAAGTTGAAATGAGTTATTAAAGATGAAAGTGAGAACGACTTTCATCTAAGGAAAGGAAGAGCTAATAATGTGTTTTAGCAAGGAGTTTTCTAAGGGCAGAGACCTTAGGAAGTAACGACGAGACTGACCCCTTCTCACTCACCAGGT